CCATTGTTTGTAAACTTTGTCAGAATATAGTGTACTGACCACATTAATTTATGCATGCATCGACACTTAGGATTTGTCTTCACCAACTGAATTAGTCAGTGAGTTTGCTCCAACATTTCCATTGATTTTTCAGAAGCATGTGTTGAATTGTTCCAATTCATTCATGGGATTCTTTGCATCAACTTGTCAAGATGTGTAACTCTGTTAGAAGTGAAACTGTGTCTAAAAAAGAAAGATACAAACAAAACGATTAAAACACTACAGTTTATTTTTCTTTAATTTGTCCCACAAATATTCATTAATAATATAAACACAGTCATATCTGTTGCTGAAAGAAAGTTAACTGATTAGGTTGTTAATTATAAAAATAGTCAATTATAACAGAAAATTATCCAAATAATTTCCAATCTTGACAATTGGTCGTTGTATCACATAAAATATAAAACATTTACCGGCTGTGAAGAATCGCTTTATATTTAATTTACTGAGCTGCTATGTGAACAAATACACAATGTCATTAATTTTGACATAAAGATATCTGATTATTTATAAACTAAGTGGTAATAAATTACATGTGTTTTGCAAGATAATGAAGTGACTTAATTAATTTTAGTCATATTTCAAGTAAAATATTGATCTAATCTGACTTGTTGTTAATCAATATAATCATTAACTGATATTTTACATTTTGTTTGAGGTGTGGCTTTTTTCTGTATAGAAGGTAGTCTTAAATACAGCATGTGATCAGGCTAATGTCAGTGACAGACTCTCATCTAAAACTTCTAAAAAGTGTAACTCACTTTGCCTCTTGTACGATCGTGAGCGTCATTATGATTACAAAGAGAGGTCCTGTCACAGGAAGATGTCTGCCTGACTGGCTGGTTAACTACATTCAACATACTGTAAGTGCATGCTTGTAGTCATTTTCCCCTTTTATGTTTGGATTAGTATTGAATCCACTGGGATCGGTGGACTTTGATAGTGTGGAGACGTCTAGTAATTTGCTGCCATGGGTGGTCAGACTGTGAAATGTATGGGCAGTAGCCTTGGAAAAGACAGTGACGGAGGAAGGCATATCTTTCCTAAATGAGGGGTTAAATGGCACCCTGCCGTCTAAAGATTGGAATTACTGCCACATTGAGCTCTAAATTGAGTTTAAATAGTCTTAACTTGATATGTGAGATGAATGGGACTCTGTAGGCATATCGATTACAGTTTCACATTGTATTAGAATGTTTTGCCCCACCCCTACTTAGAATATCTATTTAAATATGAATATGAGCTTGTTTTTATTTATAAACGTAATTACTGTCTGTCTGCAATATTTGCACGCTTGTCAAGTAGAGTGCTCTGTGTGTGCAGAATAAAAGCAAAAGCTCTCCTAATTATGTTTACGTCCGGCGATGAAAATCCCAGGGTTTTAATGATCAGTAATTATAAATACTTTTCAGCATGTCTGCTGCCTCGGCTGGGACTATTGTGTGGTGTGAAGTGCAGAGTTTGTGCAGCTTAATTATGACATTGTACATGACTAAATGTACCAGTCTGCTTTGGCTCTGCAAAGCACTTCCAGTGCATAATCATGCTCAAGTCTGACTTTAAAGAGCTCATTACAGTTAGTTTTCTAAAGAGTGGCTTATTAAACACAGTTACCTAATAAGCATCTTTGGTGGTGCAAATTGGTAAAAATGGTAATGAGTCTGATTAGGCCACGTTTCAATTACGACAGCTTTCACTTCCCTCCCCCTCTCCCTCAACCCTCCCACCTTCCGCTCCCCAAAACCAAAAAAGAGGAAGGAAAGTCCAGCTCTTTATGCTTGGGAATCCTCCTGGAAGGCATTTTGCTCTCTCTCTCTCTCTCTCTCTCTCTCTCTCTCTCTCTCTCTCTCTCTCCTACACATACACTCACGCACACAGAAAAAGGAAAAGAAAACCGCTCTGCCACCTCTGTGCTTCCTTTCAGCAGCACAGTAATGAATAGAGAATTGTGCAAGCGGCGGTCCAATTTACGCACTGGGAAATTGGATGGACAGAGTGGAGGCCCATTCTTGTTTGCTTAAAAACGGCCTAGGCTTCCAGATTAATAGTTCCCGAAAAAGGTCAGCATCTCTGTTTCATCGATGATGATCACTGAACCAGAAATTAAACACTATAGCGTAGCATCACATGTCAAATGCATTTCTGCTCCACTTGGTCTTGTTTTTTTCAATAAGTGTGAGATTGTCAAAAAAACATGATATATAACTTAAATTGTCAGGACATACCTTTTAATCACAGTGATGATTCTACAGAATTTTGTGCTGTTATCGCAAATATGTTTTCTCAAATTTAGCAGGGTGATCAATTAAATGTAAGTCGGCCTAGAAGATAGACACAGATAACTCCAAAAATTGGATATATGTCGGGGTAAAAAGATCATCTTCCTATATTACCATCATCTCAAATTTACCACGAGGGATTATTCAGATCTGTAGATTGACAAACACAATAGTCTAACAAAGGATCTATTTGTTGGTGGCTGATCATTGGAATTTGAGCTTGAGCCCCGAGGCTATCTGAAAACATTCCACTAATGGAGCGCTCCGTAATTATACCATTTCAAAGAAAGACAAAGGAACCTGTGGATGTTGTAATTGCATTTCCAGGCTGGTGGAATAAAGGACAACGTTTTACCGTAATACCAAAGTACCAGGTCATTATGGTAATGCACCGTATGTGGATGTCAGTGCATTTGTGTGTATTTATGTGTTAGTGTTTGTATGCATATTTGTGTGTGGATGCATTTACTATCCTTTCCATAATCTTTGTCTAAACCTAACAACTTAATGTTGGATTCTGGTTCAAATAATATGCTTTATAAATATCTTATCAAGAGAAAACTAGTTGACCAACTGAATGACATCACAAATTATGGTGACAATTTCATTACTTTATTCCTATTGTAAATATTACTAAAACCTGTGTTTATTTAACATCGTACATAAATCATTGTATTTCTCTGTGTAGGTTGTGAGTTTTTGCCTATAGAAAAAAATGCCTTGCTCCACAAATCCAAATCTCAGGTTTGAGTTATTTTCTATATAGAAGTGGAAGTCTTTTTCTGTCTGTTTTTAGCTGTGTCTGTGTGCTGTATTTATATAATCATCTTGGATGGTTTCCATTTTATAAAATACCTGATGCTCAGAGATCTCAAGTAGACTTTGCAAGTAGCACTTCTTTGATTGTCCAAAGTGGCACATTGTTCAGAGAGGATTAACATTAATAGAAGAATCTCACTCAATAAACTGTGTGCAATTTTGTTATTGACAAAATGTGCCTTGAGTGTTAATGAACTCCACTGAATGATTTTACAAAAAACCATTATCCTGATACTTGCACTGGAGTGTCAGTCAATGCTGTGAATGGCTGAGACTTTTGGTAGACAGCACAGCGCCAGTTGCTATTGCCCAAATACTGTTTGTTTTGTTTTGAAGGCAACATTTTTCTCAGCAAGAATGTGGAAAAAATTGTATTATACAAAGGTATTTTAATGTAGTAATGGCAAAAGGGGTAACACAGTGCATGTATAACAGGCTGCATTGAAAAATAACTTTCCACTTAAAAAGTTTTATTTTTGCATTGCACCTACCTACACACCTAAGAAAACAGCTGACCTAAGAAATGGTCGGTGAGACTTACCTTTGGTATTTTCAAGGGTGTCATTCATACATTTTCAATTCATACAAATTTCTAGTCAGTAAGATTTAGATTTACATGAAAGACATTTTGTATTTTTCTAATTTTACTTTCTTTGTCACTGTCCCCTGTTATAATAGAACTTGTTTTCATATTCTATTTTCTGTAGGTTGATGGACCTTTCTGTTCCAGCACAGTATGGCTACCATGTTTGTCTGTCCAGGCTTTTTTTTGCCTCAAGCTATTTTTCTTAATCATTGGCTTGGATGGTTGACAACTATGTGAGCCATAGCATGAATCTCTTTGACTAAAACCTTGTAAATTAACACAATTAGTGCAGCATCATCCTGCTAATTAGCTCCTGGTGTTTAGTGTGGCGGGTGGGTAAATAGCTGGGAGGGAGTCAGTAGGGAATCTACAGACAAACGCCTTGTTTGTAATCTGCCTCTGGGCAGTGGCTGTATGTTGCTCGAATCCTGTGATATAGGCTTAACCTACTGAAGTATAAAGTATAGCAGTACAGTGTCTGCTCAGCAAGGGTGTGGACTGTTGTATAACAGGCAGGCAACGTTGGGTTAAATGCATCTCCTCTCATATCTTCTTGTGGCTTTTGGTCAGATTAGTGTTGATGTAAAATGAGGCTCTTCACTCTATCTCTGATTGTTTTGTGCTGTAACCTCTCTAATAGTCTACATTTTGGCATGTATAGTACACCCTCTGAGCAGAGTAAAAGATGACAGCATGTCTAAAAACTTTTATTTGCAGATTAAGAATTTAACTTGATTACTTATGTCATTCAAACCCTTAAGGCCATACAGAGAGGCTGAGAGAGGCTGCAGAGAAAAAGACAAGTGAAGCATGTTTTTCTCCCTCCCTCCCTCACTCTGTGGACTAGGAAGCAGTAGGCAGACTGGATGTGGATGTAATTCATGCTGGGCTGAGGGGTTTGTGTGATGAAAGCAACAGAGCGCTGCCAAGGAAGATTGCTTTGCTGCTCTCCTCCAAGCAGATTTGAAACTGTCTCAGAATGCCTCAGATGAGAGTTGGATTATAGACTGACCTGCAATGTCTGTGTCATTCTGCTCAGCATTGGGTGGATTATACCACGCTAACCAGGTGTTAGGTCCCATATCCTCATACTGACCATGATGTGTGTTCAGTTAGCATCCGTTTGTCATACAGGAGACAAGTTTTTTTTCCATAGCCTCTACTACTATTTTATTATTATACAGCATTTAGAAATATTAGAATATTATTTTAAAATGATTAATAACCACGATGTAATGCTTACTTTGACATATTTCTTCCCTATGCGGAATATCTAGGTCTAAAGATGCAGTGGACCCCAGAGCACACACAATGGGCAGAGCAACACTTTGACATCTCATCCACTACCCGCTCACCAGCACACAAAGTAGAGGCCTACCGAGGGCACTTACAGCGAACGTACCAGTATGCGTGGGCAAACGATGACATCTCTGCACTGACTGCCTCCAATCTGCTTAAGAAATATGCAGAGAAGTACTCTGGGATCCTAGAGGGCCCAAATGAAAGAGCACTGCTGTGTTCCTACTCTGATAGCACCACTGGACTCATGAATGGACGAAAGTCAGAGAATGAGTCCTGGCAGGAGGGGATTTACCCAATGAACTGTGCTCCAGATGTTATATCTGTAAGCAAAGCTGGAATGACAGCTGCCCTACCCCCTACAGATGTGTCGGCCAGCATAGGCAGCTCCCCAGGGGTGGCCAGCAGCTTGTCTGAGCCTAGCTATTCAAGCAGCAACTGCGGGAGCCACACAGCCACCACGCTCCACTCGGGTCTCCCCTCTCAGGAATATACTGCCAGCTACAACGGCTCCTACCTGCATTCTAGCTACAGCGGCCAGAGTACCCCAGCCCTCCCCTCCCCCCACCCTTCTCCTTTGCACAGTGCTGGGCTATTACAACCACCACCCCCACCTCCTCCCCCTACCTTAGTGCCAAGCTACAACTCTGGGTCTCCAAACCTTCCCAACTACAATTATCCTCCAACAGGGTATCCTTCTCAGACTGCTGTTGGTCCTGGTTATAGCCCTGGGGGAGCACCCCCTCCTTCTGCTTATCTGCCATCCGGTATTGCAGCTCCAACACCGATCCCTCCTACCACACTGCCTGGCTACACCTACCAGTCCCATAATCATACACCAATTACACCAACACCTTTGAATGGCAGCACATCCAACTCATTAAAACGAAAAGCTTTCTACATGAGTGGACATGGAGATATGGACTCTAGCTATGGTAATTTCAACTACAGCCAACAGCGCTCTTCACAGAGCCCAATGTACAGATTAACAGACAGCAGTGTCTCAGACTCAAACAGAGGCAATGGCTTTGACAGAAATGCTGAGGCATCGTCTTTAGCATTTAAGCCAACCAAACAGCCAATGTCTTCTGATCAGCAAAGAAAATTCATTATACACTCTGGCAGAGCACTAACTCCTCCATCCTATGGATCAACCAAAAGCTCTGTGGGTGATCTCAGAAATGGTGAGCCCTACAACAAGTTTGGATCCCCCATCATGAGCGAGCAAACTGAAGAGCACAGACAGCACCTCTCTCACTCCCTAACAGGGCCTGACATTGGTACGGCTACCTCGTCCATCCATGCTGCAGAGGAACAACTGAAGAACAGTGACTCCAACCTGGTGGAGATGGTGACCACAGAAATCCTTCAGCAGGGTCCTCCAGTAGACTGGAGCGACATTGCAGGTTTGGATATGGCTAAAGCAGCCATCAAAGAGGAGATACTTTGGCCCATTTTAAGACCAGATATGTTTAGTGGACTTGCTACATTACCTCGAAGCCTCCTTTTATTTGGACCTCAGGGAACTGGTAGAACGCTGCTGGCCCACTGCATGGCCAACCAACTGGGGGCTGCCTTCTTGCGACTCAGCAGCTCAGCTCTGGTGACCAAGTGGCTAGGGGAAGGGGACAAAATCATCCAGGCTTCTTTCCTGATGGCCCGGTGTCGCCAGCCAGCAGTGGTGTTCATCAGAGAGGTGGACCTGCTGCTGTCAGCCCAGCTCAGTGAGGATAGCCCAGTGAATCGCCTCAGGGCTGAGCTCCTCATGCAGCTTGACAGTATTCTGACCTCTGCTGAGGACCATGTCCTTGTGATCTGCTCCACCAATAAGCCTGAAGAGATCCCAGAGTCCCTACGGAGGTACTTTACCAAGCGACTGCTCATCCCCTTGCCTGATGGAACAGCGCGACACCAGATAATCAGCCAACTGCTCTCACAGCACAACTACTGTCTTAGTGACAAAGAGATGTCACTATTGGTTCAGAGGACAGAGGGCTTTTCAGGACTGGAGGTGACCCAGCTGTGTCAAGAGGCGGTGGTAGGTCCTCTCCATGGCATTCCTGGTACTGATCTGTCAACCATCCATCCCACTCAGATGAGACCGGTTTCCTACCAAGACTTTGACAATGTGTTTTGCAAATTTCAGCCCAGCATATCACAAAAAGAACTTGACATGTACACTGAATGGAATAAAATGTTTGGTTGTACTCAATAAAAAGAGACCCATCAAACACAATTTCTTTAACAACCCAGTAGTTGAATACAAGTAAGTGTTTGGCCTTCAGTGAAGAAAAATAACAAACAGCGGCGACATGGACATATTATTTACAGCAAAGGGATTGTCCTTGAAGGCTTTAGATAGAAGATGACATACTGGACATCACACATTGGTAAAAATAAATTAAATGCTTTATATGGCTGATGCTATGTGCTCACTAAAACTTGGAGAAGACGCCCCAGTTTTTGTACATACATATATAAATATATATACATACTATTCTGCTGATCTTGAGATTTAGTTGCTATCAAGTGCCTAAGGTGGTGCTGTTTAAGTTTTTTTTTTTTTCTTTTTGCCTCACAATCTTCATTGGTGATGTGCTAATATAAAAAAGCTTTAAAAGGAGACAAAAAACGTGCTTTCTCTTTTCCATTAGAACAGTGTTTTTTACAGCTGTGTCTGTTTCGTGTTCTCTGTGAAGTTAATTTGAGCTAAATTAAATTTATTGACATAATTACAGTTGGGCTTCATTACCTTACACAGGTTTTATTTGTGTGTACATTCTTTAATTACAAAAAAAAATTCTGGAACAATGCGATTTGTTTTCTAGCCAATTTAGGGTGAATTTGGTTGCCTCTCCACTATAGATGAAATTACGAAAACAAATATTATTTTACAATGTGACATTAATCTAAACAATAAATTACTATGTAATTGCTGTTAAAATATTGTTACAGTAGTCATTCACAGTGTTTCACATAAATGTAAAATTCTACCATTATTTCTTTTGATGTTCTCTATTTGAAAACTCAGGAAAGTGAAAATGATATGTATAGTACCTCATAATCTTGTGATGAAGCACTACACACTACTAGAGCATTTGGCTTGCATTTGAAATTCCATCATCAAACCATGTAAGGCTATATAATACCTCAAAAAGCTCAAAATGAAATGAGAAGGTTCCTACAATGAATGTATGAGAGTAATTCTGGTTTATTTACAAGACAGAAAAGTAATTTGTTCGGGGTTCTTTACATCCTATACTTTAGCTTGTGGTGATGCAGAGCTGAGAGAAATTCGAAAGGTGCAGACAAACATCTTGGGGTTGAGGAAGACAGCTGCCCCGAGCTATTTCATTCCATCTTGCTGCTGTTTTATCATTAATGAAACCTAAGGATTATGTATAGCCTAAGTTCCTTTCTACCTCAGTTTGTTAGTTATCTCTGAAAGACAAATTTATGAAGACAGCAAAATGTCAGCACCTATTCTGCTTGTTCGAGGAGGAAACCTTCTGAGAGAACACCAAACAGTATTTTGTTGTGTGCAAAATCTATTAGCTTTACATTTTGATAACTCCCAAGAACCCTGTGTCTCACCACATAATGCCCTTCAAGGGGAATACCACTGAATATCAGGTTTGCCTTAGGACAATTTGGTCTGTATTAGCTAACATTCACCAGTGCATCTAGTTGTCAATGTTTGTTTGGCACCTGAATCTGGGATGTCAATCGATAATCTAAATGTGACAGCATTTGCAGTGACGTTTGGTATGCATTTTCTGGCTTAAAAACAATTCTATTATCTTAATATAGTTTACAGTAGAATTGGTTTGACTGTCTTAAGACATTACTGTAACATTCATGAATTGAGTGGCATTCCTTTTTAAGAGCATGTCTTGAAGGTTAGTCTCACTGTACACAAAACTGTTATTTTTACTCTGTCATGTCATTTTCACATTTAAACTGTTGTGTTTACAGTGCTATTAATCACAACTTGCTGCCATTAATCCGTACATTTCCATCCAGTCTTTTTGGCAATGAAAGAGCAGGACTGAATTGGCAAGTCAAAATGTTACTGAATGTATTATGTCCTCTAAGCAGTAAGGACAGCAAAGCACTCGCACATTGAAAAATGCCACTGAAGTAGATAGCACTGTAGGTGTGGGTGTATACTAATACTGCAGAGGCACTAAAGAACCTTGTGATAGTTTTTCAAAGGAGGTCCCTTCATGTTTGTTTTCTATTGCACACCTTTTACCTGTTTACCTTTTTTGCATATTAATCACTGATACCTGGTTTGGTATCATCAACTCTTATAAACCTGTATTGGGATGGATACAGAGCATCTAAACAATAGCAAAGAAACTATATAGCAGCAGAGATATCTAGCAAGCTTGCCAAAAATAATATCTTGTTGTAGTTTCACATTATCTCTGTTAGAGATATTTACTCCAGTGATAAGACGGATGACAGCATTTTCAATAAATGCACACAAGTCACAGGAATTGGTAAACCATTTTTAACATAAATATAACTGAACAGACAACTATGTAGAATTTGAATGCCCATTTATGTTTGTTGTTAAACATTGTTTTCTCAGATTATATGGATGTGGGCAATTTTAACTTTTAACTTTAATACTTTTCCTAATTGACAGGGTCACATTTTTCACATGGCAGATTGCCCCAAAATTACACAGGACCACCTTTACAACAAGATTTTAGTATTCATTCATGCAAACAGTGCAAACTACAAAAGTAGTTTGAGTAACCTTAGACAAAGCATTTTTTTCCCCTTAATCTACACATACACCACATCCAGGGTGTCCAAAGCCAAATTTGTTTTCACATCAATGTGTCCAGTTGAAGTTGAAGACCATTTGAAACCTTCAAAAATTAACAAGTTATACAGGAAATTTGGCCAACATTATTGGAAAATAAATTTTTAGAAAGGTTGTTTTTACTACTTTAACTGGAGAAGTATAGGGAATGAGCAAAGCCCCGAAACCAAAGTAAAGCAGCTTTCTTTTGAATAATAGAAAGAGTTTATGAACAGTCATTCACCTCTGCGTGGAATACGAATAGAAGCTTGGCTGATTTGTTTATCTTCAAAAAAAAAATAGGAAATAGCTGAAAATGTCACATACCACACAATGTATTGTTACACTGGAATTTAATTGTTTCTGTGTCTGTGATTACTAAATTTTAAAAGTAATTTTGACGGGTTTGACAAGAAGGTGATAAGAAGCTTCAAGTGCCATTAACAAGATCAAATTTCACGCATTTAAGAGGTTGACTGTTCATGAACTTACAGAGAGAATTTTCATCACAAGCAGACAGTAAAAAGGCTCACAGCCAAATACGATATGAGGAAAACACTTAAACATTTGTTTAGATAGGGTGTAAATTTCACATACTATAGATGTTATCATAAAAAATACTCATTCGTTGTTGAGGGTGACGTGATGAAAGGGCCAACAGTCACAATCAGCACTTGAGCAGAACCTATGACAAGCACATCGAGTCTCACAGTGATGCCAACTCAGTCACTTGAATCTGTTTTTTTCAGAATCTGTCAGTATTTCTGTATTACATTTTGCTGAGAATTGCTTAAGACTTTGATTCCATCCTTATGTAGTTTTATAGTCTGGCATTCTTTAAAACCATTTCTACCTCATTGCTACATATTGTACATGTAGTACTTATGTCCTGTCATTTTGAATGTCATGCATTTGTGGATAAAAAGTTAAAATAACAAAAAAAAATAATGAACAAAAAAAAAGCTTGCCCTTAATCTGAGCAGTCTACCTCAAAAAGACTGTCTTTACACTGTCAAGTACAAGTCACAGAAAAAATAAGGCACCTTGAGGGCACAGATGAAGTCAATCTGCACATACTAACGTACAGTTTATTTACAATACCACATTCCCATTGAATTGTTGTGGGCTGTGTAGGTCTTCTACAAGGTCACCAATGCAAATGTATTTCCTAAAAAGTAACAAATTGCTTTAATCCTTTGTTAACTGTTGTATTGCGCATGTTAATGTGTATGTATGTGCACTTGCAAGTATGAGGGGATAACATAAAGATATGAAAACTTTTGAGTTTTTACTTTTCATATACATGTACAGAGAATGAACTTGCACATAGCTGTATGTATTGTACATTTGCTAATGATATACAACATACATACGAAAAATGCACCACATACATGTTTATATGTGTGTATGTATTGCCATACTTACAGTACAGTCAATTTAAATGTATTTTGATTTCAAGGTACATAAAGGTTAATGAAATACTGAATAAAAATGTTTTCTTTTTTTTTCTCATGAAAACTGGATGCATTTTGTACCTTCACTTGATTAAATTTGCAATGGTGTGATCGATTTAAGCCTGTGCTATTTCCGTTTCAAGCTATTTCTTGTGGAAGACAGTGTTCAATCCATGACAACTGAAATCATAATTTCTTTATTTCTTGTGTTCAACAAAGATATAGTGAAAGTATTTCAGTTTGCAGCAGTTTAGAATTTCAAGGCTTATTTTTTATTGCACTCCTCCCACCAATACACCTTTCATAATCTATATCAATTTATAAATCCATACTGGCTGTTCTCTAATAGAAAATGAACAGCCATGCTTAAAATTCATTTTTCAGGGTATCATTATTTAGGTGTTATATGCGTGGGAAGTTTCTGTGCAATTAACATACATGAGAAAAGACACAGTGTCAGTGTTGGTACAGCTGTGGGTGCATATTATCATCAGATCTGAAGTATCTACTATTTCATGATTCTAGGGTGAAAAACACTGGTTTTAAAGGAAAAAAAATGTATACCTGTATTATGTCATTTATACCAGTGATTTGGGGAAACATCCATACCTTGCACTGAAAATTGTAAATTAAACATTGTTTTCATTTCCATATAGCCTTTCTAAATAAAGACTTGAGTTGTACATGATGTTGAGTAAAATTAACTAATTTACAAAAACAAAAGGGTGTGAGAAAGGTAATTTCATATTATCAGTGCCTGTGAGTGTTTGAATACTCTCCTTTACCAGCATTGATAAGCTTGCCAAGGCGAGAACACTTAAAACATTGCAGTTTCCCATGGAGAACTGTCCTTGGAGGATGGAATTGTTCACTCGTCTTATTCACCGTGGCTATTGTGCTGAAGAACATTGCCTGACAAATTATGTCTATTAAAAAAATGGAGTGATTCAGTCAAGTTAATTCAATACATTTCATCTCTGAATGAAAAAAAAAAATTAAAAGTTATACACAGATAGAATTTTAACATTTTTGATTAAAAAAAACATACATTTTACTCCTCCAGAGCGGGCATAGACACATTCATCATCATTTTTAGGTTTGTGTTAAACAACAAAGCAATAATAAAGCCAGTATCTGTTTAAACATGTTAAGTTCAAGAAATACAAATCAACACCAAAATAATTGGCGCTTTGCACCTGCTTTGTGTGTATATGCTAAACTTAAACTAATCCAGTAAACTTCAGCTAAATTCATACTGTACATGTAGGTAAGTATCTAGACAATTCACATATGTGTGATGACAACTGAATCCACTTTCCATAATACAGTGTAGCCACTGCAATGCAACCGACTGTGAGTAACCTTAATCTGAGTCTCTACAGTAGAGCTTCTCCATAATATTGTTCCTTTAGCATGTTGTCCCTCTCACAGTGTTAAGTGTGACTGGTGTTTGTTGTTGGATACACAAATCAAAGCACCTAACTGCATAAGCATACATGTGATTTGTTTTCATGGCTACACTTACTTCACAGTGTCTATCTTGGGTTTTTTGCCTGTTATGAGAGAGAGCTAGATACACAGACATATATGTATATAGATATATACAGTACACATCCTTTCTCCATCCTGCTGTCTCTAAATTCTAGCAGCAAACATGCTCTTTGTTTCTTTCCACAGAATTTGTAAACAAGAGCCGTTTGACCAGGAGAAAAAAAATAAAATCAGGACTGATAAAAGAAAAATGAAGTTGAGTCAAACAAATTACACTCAAGTTATTAGTGGCTATTTTGTAAATATCAAAGACCCACTTGTCCCAGTGTTCTGTGCTTCATTTGCATTCTGATGAAACTGGAGTGGATGTGTGTGAACTCGGAGGTTATCTGTGAAGCTGCAGCGCCGAGCAGCCGAATCAGACAGCTTCGCAACCACATGGCTCAAGAGGATGAGCCACAGACCTCTCTCAAATCACTTCCTTCATAACAATTAAAATATGCAAAGTGATAATTTTCCTTAAGTAGCCTTAAATGTGCAATCTATTTAAATGTGAGGGAAATTGCCTAAAGCTTGTGGTGTGTGTATATGTGGGGGGTGGGGTGGGGGATAAATTATGCAAATAACAGAAAGGACTCTTGAAAGCCTAATTTTTCTGTAATAAGCATACTGTTTCATTTAATTTTTTGCCTCTTATTAAAAGTGACAGTTCTTTTGCTCTGTCTGATGGCTATATCTGACACAAGCCCATGGAACTGACTGCTAGACTAAATGGTAAAGCATTTTTGTAGCTTTTAGATGATGGTTACATTCACAAAGTAATTATGCACTAGAGAGTCCAGAAATAAGGTTTAATTACACAGTAATCGCTTCTGATGGACACTAGGAAGTGTGAGCACTGCCAGACTGCAATCCATCAATGACAAACCTCTGGCCAGTTTTAATTCCTCCTCATTTGCATCATAACCTCAGCACTAAGTTGCACAAATGCTGTTAAATGTTAATAGGACCTGTCTCTCTACTCAAAATGGATGCTTAAGCCATTTCAATTCTCCCTTCCTCTCTATCTCTTTCTTTCACTCCCTCTCTCTCTCCCTCATAACACACAAACACACACTCTCTATCTCACCCAGTCCATATCTCCTCTCTCTCGCCTCAATTCTCACATTCTCATGAGTCTTCACATAAATAGCCCCTCTTCAGAAGGGAAGCTGAGCACAGGAGACAGTGCACGGTCACTGCTGTGCTAATTGGGAGCAACATGTAAAGTTTTATCTCTTGAGCGCTAACAAACCATACAGACAAGTATAATTCCTTGCCGTGTGTGTGTGTGTGTGTGTGTGTGTGTGTGTGTGTGTACAATTGACACACAGATTCACACAGCTACAGAGCATAAAGGTTTGTTCACACGATGCGAGGGAAGGACCTCAAGTTATACCTAAACCCTAGCGTTGGGGACTGGACAAAATTATGTTTTTATTAATTGAAAATTGTTATTGGTGAGGGAGAGACAGTTCTGCTCCTCTTCAGACTTTTATATGGTTGATTAGAGCCAGGATGTCTCATTATCAGCCGGTCTCCTTCATGTATTTTAAGTACATGCTGTATTACGCACGGGATATCCCGGTGTATTTTGGCTACACAGCTTGCAAAGGGGTGGACATTAGACCCAATGGACCACTTGTGTAAACAGAGTGGAATGTGTGTATTTATTGTAATAACATGGAAAACAGCACATTGTGTACTTTACTAATCCCCCTACAACATCAAACCCACCATATACTCTTAGATACTTATGATGTGACCTTGTTAATCCCCAGCATTCAAAGCAATTTAATCTTGATTCTGAAAAATAATGAGATGTGTGGAAACAAAGAAAAAAATATACTCGCAAGTCAAACTGTGACCCATGAATATAATTAGAGTGCGTGAATGTCTTCAGCATGTTTTTCTGCAAAAATTCCAAATAACCTAAATATTTACTTTTACAGCCATCTAGAAATTACTGTCAGCTGTAATTACAGAGAACCACTATGTCACCAACATCTCTGTATATCTTCTCAGAAATACTTATTAGTGCCTCAGTAAGGCTTTAAATATTATCTGTTATAACACTGTTATAACAGGATTCATGTACATATTTTTCACCAGCATCTGAAAACACTGCAATGCTGTTGCTATCGTTCATGAAGTGTGATTTTGATTCTGACTCTGTGCTGCTTTCTGTATCTGAGGTTTCACGGCCTACATGTAGTTAGCGATCCCTCCCAGTGACATAATTTTATGCCTCAGAACAAATAAATTTACATTTGTTAATGCTAAAAGTATTTTCATATCATACTATTATGTATTTGTAGGTATATACAGTATTGATTTCAGTGGTGGAAGAAGTACTGAGCTTATTTACATAGTAAAAGTAGCAATACTACTGCATAAATGTACTCCATGTCAAAACTTACTTGCATAAAGGTACAATACTGTCAGCTGATTGTACTTCTAGTATCCAAATTAAAAGTACTCATGCAAAATGGCACCAGGAATGAGTATTATATGTATTATTGGAATATTACATTTATTCATTTAGCTGACGCTTATATCCAAAGCGACTTACAATTGCCATTTATGTCAGAGGTCGCACGCCTCTGGAGCAACTAGCTAAGTGTCTTGCTCAGGGACACATTGATGGATGTGTCACAGTGGGGAATTGAACCCGGGTCTCTCACTCTAAAGGCATGTGTCTTACCCACTGCTCCATCACCACCATATTATTACTGATTCATTTACATGGAAGCAGCATTTTAAGTGTGGGGAAACTGTAACAACTTTACACGCTGTTGGGCAGTTTGAATATAACAATGCATCATGTTTTATAAACTGATCATATGTTTCACATGTAAATACTCTGCAAAGTAACTAACAATAGCTGTAAAATAAATGTAGTTGAGTAAAAAGTACAATATTTCCCTGGTAACCGTTGCGGTAGTGATGTGCGATACCACTTAATTCCTATACGATCCAATACCAAGTAATACCCAGGCTGGTATTGCCGAGACCAATACCAATACCAATACCAATACTTTTTACATATTTTATTTGTAGTTTAATGTGACCTCCCCTCTCCCGTTTCTGTATTTATGAGAGAAATAAGGAGTAGGCTGTAGCCTTACCACTGATTGATTTTGAGTTTAGACATAAAATGCCCTCCTTACTTTCTTCTGAAAATCATTCTCTTCGATTTTAGTGCTTTTTAATCTAACTTATTTAGCTGTTTATCTCACTTGTTCCTTGAAGTTTTATGTTTTTGTAATGATAGTAGTATTTGGGTACATAAAATATTCTGTCAGGTAAAACTCAGATGCCCACCACAAATGAATAGCTGAAAAATTCACTTTTTCTTCTTCGGACGCCACAGAGAGAGCAAGACTTGGGGTGTAGAGGTCAACATTTTTACATTCAACAGCCTGAAATAGGCAAAGTGAGGTTAAACTCTGCTGGAATCACCAGTAGTTTATGGCAACGTATATTAGTGTTGCAGTAGCGGGAGAGCTGTCCCTGTCTCTCAGCATACACCACCCTCGATAACAAGCTGGCCCCCTGCACCAGTTTGATCACTTCTAAATGTCC